AATTACTAAAAATTCAAACAGCCCGGGATTTCCCGTACTATCCGATGTATTGCTGTAATCATATTTTTTAAATCGTTTATTTATTTGATTCGTAAACATGGAAGATTGTTCATGTTTATTATTTTATATAATCGTTTTTTTACCATGTTTAATATTTTTATTAAATTTGTATTTGGGGTGGTAAATGATTTAACCAAAGTATGAAAAATTTTGTTGTATTCAATTTATAGAAAATTACAAAAGTAACAATTACATTTATTAAATTGATTTACGTTATTGCAGTACAGACATTCTTGGATTTTCCATTCTTTGAGCATGATTTATATCTTCCCTTAAGTGAACTACGATAGTAAATCTCGTTAATGCTAAATCTGGATTAAGGACGATCATCTGTAATATAATATATAGCTCATATTTATTTCCCCCTTTTGTTATCATTTCATTCGACCGTTCTTTTTCTGCTATTTTTCCCTCGGTAATTGAATTCATTGCCAAACAAGACGATTACATTACAAAGTTAACACAATTTTCCATTCGACTAGTTTAATTTGCTTCGCAAATAATTGACCCTATTCATCCCTTCATGTTTAGAACCGCAGGCGATGTTCCTTATTTCACGAATAATAATAAGGTTCTCTCTGTTTTTGGATATATATTTTTTTCTTGTTACTTCCAGCCCAAAATCCAATTGATCCTCGACCCAAAATCGTTCCGCTCCTCAAAGTTAGAATCCGACTGGCGGTGACAAATCGCTGAAGCAAGTTTAACACTTAATGAAGTTTGCGGCCGTTACGACTAATTGGTCTTAGGGACCGCTCGACTTTGCTTCGATTCACCCTTAAAAATCTTCATCTGCTTTGTACATTCGTTTCGAAACCGTTTATAATTACTTTACTGAAGTTTAACTATTTAGCAATTTAATTGTAACTAACATGATTAGTAGTAGGTTACATGCATAGAAATTTAGCTTACCTAAACTCGAATGGATTTTGTTACTGCATATTTTAGAGTTGCTTCAATTATTTTGCGACTGATTTCCCCTGACAAATGTCACTCGCAGCATTAATTTAAGTATCTTTCTATTGCATTTATATCATGACCTACTTAATGTTATATCAACGTGTAAATTTCATATTCATTCATAATCCATTCTATAGTTATATTTCATATGTTTTGAAATGAATAATTTAATTTTTGAAGTTCATTTATTGTAAAAAATTTCCAGTGATGACGATGACATTTCCTGATATTAGATTACATTTCAGGCTTTTGATTGAATAAAAAAATAAGTTTGTTTACAAATGTGGGAAAAGGTTTGGTAAAGATTAGTCTTCAAAAAAAATAAGTTTTGAAGTAATTTTTTTAATCCATCATTTATTTCATTATTTACATATCTACTTTACTAACGTAAACCTTGCATAGTCCGGTTTGAAAATTTTAAAACACTACAATTTAATTGAGCAAAAATATATTCTAAAAATTATTACATAACTATTTTTTAATGATGGATTATCTTTTTATATAGTTCCTAAAATTTCAATTTTTTTGTCCGGTTTGAAATAGTCTGATATAATGGAAGAACCATTTTTTCACACTATGCGTGGTATTGTATATTGTTAGTTCAGTAAATTATCTTATTAGTAATACTTGTTGAATATAATATAATGCAAACGAAAACAAGTTTTCAATCGTTTAAAATGTTCTGAAACATATTAAGTAAACTTTTGTTCAGAAGTTTCATAATTAGATTTAAGTAGAAGGAATATTACAAAGAAGATGAACTTTGTAATTTTTTTTTGTAATATTCCTTCATTATTTTTTTTAATCTTTCGGACAACTTTATGTATTGATCTTGTTACAAGTTTCCTTTTTAATTGTTGAGATATATTATTAATTGTATTTTATCGTAGTATCAAAATATTTCTTATGAATTTCAGAGAAATAAGTAAAATTCATTTTAATCTGCAAATATTTTAAATCTTTCATGAATTCATTTTAATGATGTTGTTCTTTAATAATATTTGTATATTTTATTTTGTCATTCAAATAATATTGATATATTTTTTTCGATGAGAACTAATCTTTTCATTTTTTTTGTTCCCGGGAAATTCGGGAATTCTTAACTATTAACTACTCGCGCACTTAAATGTCTATGTCCTACTCGCGCGGTGTATTTTATACACCACATGTATTACTGCCAGACAGAGTGCATAAATGAATGTATTACGACAAGAAAAAACTTTCTCATGTTAAGTAATGCTTTTTTTATTAGGTATTTCCCTCAAAATATTTGTCAGAAGAGTTATCAGCATCGTCTGCTATTGCACCAACACTGCAGAGCAAGAAAGAACGTGCATAAAAACAACTTGTTTGTGCCGCAATCTGCACAATATTGCATTAGGTTACTTTGCGCATAGGTTACGTTAAGTGTCATAGATGGGAGAATGAGAATATAGATGTGGTATCATTTCTTATAACATTGGTGTATTTTTTAAAGCTTAAATTCTTAATATGTGCTCGAAATATTTCAATAAGTATTTCTTAAAATTACCATTTTAGAAAGGAGAGATAGGCGGAAGGGATTTTTTGATTTTTATATAGAAACAAACATAAATACATAGATGCGTTTCATAATAAAAATATTTAATTCTCTCATTTATTTGGGCGCATTGGCCATCGTTCATAGTAAAATACATAAATGTCTAGAGAATTCTAATTGTAGTAGATATTTTTTGATTTTTTTATGCAAATTTCTTTTCTGAAATGGCAAGCACATAGTTGGGGACACCTGGGAATACTTTATTTGCATTGCAAGAACTATTACATACTTTTATCACAGAAGAAAGCTTTGAATACATATTTACTTAACCGTATAATACCTCAGAATGTATTTGTATATAATATTTGTTTTGTTCTTTTAATTTTAAATGATTTTTTGATAATTTATTATAAATTAAAAATGTTGCTTAATGAAAAATATGAAATTATAGGAGAAACGTTATTATAAAATTTGTAGTCGTTAGATTTGCAGGAAATGAAATAAATTTTGTTCTAGTATGTACATAAAAATAGGTTATATAAACTCTGCTGAGATAAGGTATACACTTCTGCTCTGGAAATAGAAATATATAAAATGGGAAACAGTTCGTTTCATGAACTTTGGTAACAATACGATATGGAACTTGAACGACTTCCCTGTGTTGCACCCGTATTGAAGTTTCGAGAGCCACGTACTCGAAACTGTCTGCGGTATATTTCCGCGATTTTGAGATCATTCTTCATTTTATTCATTCACCTGGAAACTGCATAATAGAGAAAATAAACGTATACAGATGCACGACAGAATAAATAATTCTAGAATGTTTCATTTTCTAGTGAAAAATTGTCAATTTTTATTGTATATCCATTTTATTTAACTATATTTATATTTATACCTTATCTGATATATTATGTACATAAATGCACTTTAAATGGAGCCAAAAAATAAAAGTTAAATAATTGTTATATCAACATATTTCTGCTATAAGCAAATTGAAGAAAATTGCAATTTTCCTATTTTACTAATTTTAAAATAAATGATTGTCAAAAATATTATAATAAAAATAAATTATTTTCATACTGGCTTTACTAAGTGTAAAATTCAAATGAAATCTCAAACATTTACAGAAATTACTTGCATTGTGCGGGTCATCAGATGTGCCAATATCTGGAAATAAACCAAACAAAAAGAGATAATCATATATGTTTACAAAAATAATGTTTTGTACTAATTTTGTAGAATTTATTTTCATTTTACGCAATTAATATATACTTTTGAAATTTTCAAACCGTACTATAGAGAATCCGAAGCAGTGGGTATCTAGAAAATAAAATTATCTTAAAATGTTAAGTACAAGTACAAAATCTGTAAACAAATTTACCAGCTATAGAAAAAAAGCATTCTACATAATAGACATAATGATGAAACATTATAATTTTTATTATAATATTTATTTTATAGTTTAATAATTCAATAAACAATATTGATATTTAGTTTTAATGCAATCACACATTTTTTTAAATACACAAGGATGGATCTGATAATTGAATTTTACCTTTGAACTCCTTTTTATTTCTCTATTGTAGTGATACCCAAACTGTGCGCCGCGGAAATTGAAGAAAAACTACAATTAACAATTGTGGGTACTTTTGCTTTATTTCCTAAACAGATTATCTTTTGATTCTTAAATAAGATTTTACTCGGAAAGATCCTAGATTATCTATAGTTTTTCTCATCCTCATCTAGTTTAACTACATCTATACCTCTCTCTTTGTTTGCAGTCTCAACTATATTGTATTCTGAAGAATTCTAATCATCACATTTTCTTCTAACTTGCACGTGCAATTTTGGAATTTTCATTATATTTTCTGGAAGGGTTAATTTTACTCGCGATGTTTTCGTCTAGGTGTAGTATCTGTAGCTGTTTGATATTTCTTTATATAATGTATGAACGTTTCTCTTGGTGCATCTTGGTTTCATCAATTTGATGTGTAAAATATAAGACGTTTTTATTCCTGATTTTTGCACTATGTGCACTTGCGTTTATTTGGAAAAATAGTTATCTCTAAGAACAGACCTTCTCCATTAAACTAGCACAAGTTCCACCAACCAGTGGTATCTTCGCACGTAACTTGGGCAATTGGGGATAGATCTGCTCTTTGTTCTGATTATATTAATGATGATTATATTAAATTCACTATGTTTATAGTTTGATATTTCGAAGCTAACTCATGTTGCTGTTCTTCATAAAATTATATATTGGTTTTAAAATGATCTAAATTCAGTATATTATTAAACAAAAATAAGATTTGCACCTAAATGGAATAATCTTGTAGAATTTTCTATTCATATTATAATATTTAATTTACTTAACAGTTTATATTTTTTCTACAATTTACAATTTGAAAACAATTAATTGAGATAAAAAAATTACTATAATAATTTAAAAAAAAACGTCACCTTGATGTTACCACTTTTGTCTACTCATTCGCTATTGGTTGCATAAAATACTTATTTCTATTAATATATGTTTTATTCTGATACTAAAGAAGATTACAAGTTATTTCTTGATTTTCAAATTGACTCATCCTCACTCAATTCTAATAAACTTATGTCTTTTAAATCTGCTGCGTTTGTAACCACACTAAATTCCGAAGGCTGCTGACTCGTAGATGCCTGGTCTTCTTTGTTGGCCACCACGTATAACTTTCTTCTCGTCTGCTTACGAGGTTTCCTAACTCGATCTTTACTTGATGGAAGAGATACTTCAGTTCTCGTTGTATTTTCATCTTCAAATAGAAGCCTTCTCATTTTCTTAATATTTCGATTAGGTGTTGTATCTGGAGCTGGTGGATTTTTTTTATGGCCTTCAAATTTTCTTTTTGGTATCTTTCTCGGATCTTTTGGCGTATTCTCGAAATAATCTGTGTATTCGTATAATAAGTATGGCATTGCCGTATCCGATTTCTTTAGTATGTGACGATAATGGTGCTTATCTGGTAAAAGTGTTGTTTCTAAATATAGACCATCATCGGAACGCTTTCGTAGGTACCACACTGCAATGTATGATCCATACCGAATTTGTGCTGGTCCTAACACTAGTTGCGGATAGATGGGTTTCTGTGCAGGATTCATTTTAGTTATAATTTTGGGCGAGAATCTTTAGGTATCCATAGTGTTAATAATTTAGAATTTCGAAGATATCCGATGTTGTTCCACTGCAAAAATACACATATACATAAACAATATTGTTTCCCCAAAACTGTTTTAACTTTAGTATAGATTATTACGTAAATGTAGATGTTAGCTATAAAATTAATGTACGATATTTGTTTAATAAATAAATTATGCAATTTTTTTTTCAGTATTTTCATACATATTTACTGATGAATTGATGAAAAAAGTGAGAAAAATCAATGATTGATAGACCTTTGCAATAATTAATGTAATTTTACTTTTTTGTTTTGTAATTATTTAATAATTCTTATTTTTTGGTATTTCTATACTTTTCTTTCACTTTATATAACATAATTAATAATTCTCGGGATTTCCCGCTCAAGAAATTTATATTTTTCCGGGAAATCATCCAAAAATTGTTACAACACGAAATCAAAATTCCTTATATTTTTATGTATTTTATCTGATATACATATATATTCAAGGATTTATTTAATCTTTTCTTATCCCGAGAACAAAAAAGGCCGGAAACATTACCCTTTAAGAAATATTATAAATAAACTTTTTTGTTTTTAATTGTTTGTGTATAATAATTATATAATAGATTTTAATAACAAATATTACATTATTTCAGTAATGAAAAGCGATAAATATAAAAAAAAGTCCTAATCTTTAGTTAACATATTATTACTTGAGCTTGTTTTACACGGTGTGAATAAATCGATTACTTACAAACATTGGCAATTTAAAAAAAGGACATATTCACTTGACTGAAACACTTTTTGATAATGTGCAGAAAACTTTAATATTTAAAATTATACTTATATTTTATATCTGTCAAAAAAATCTGAAAATATTTACTCTATGTAGCATTTTTATTTGCTTAGAGCCAGTTGACGTTCACTTCAACTATAAATATTTATTGTGGATTTTATCAATTTTGAGAAATACATAAAAATGTGAAATGTGTTAAAATCTTATTTTCTATGGTAATTATATATATTCTGAAGTGTTTTCAATAGAAATGTTAAGTTGGGTTTATATATTTTTTATAATAATTATAAAAGAAATTAATTGAATTAATAAAATTAATATTAATTACACTACAACACTACAACACTACAACACTACAACATTACATAATTAATTATAGAGAAAAAAAACAAAATATTGTCACCGAGCAATATGGAAACTGTGTTATAAAAAAAAACTCAGAATTAGTAAAAATCAGATTAATTCGTATCGCGTTCTATGGCAATTAAATTCTCTTTTTTTATTGAAATGAACTCATTTTTTTTATAATTCAAATTGTTAATTCATTTTTTGTACATGTATGTCTACCAATACATTTCAGGTTTATGTATCAATTAATGCCATTACTTCATTTTCATCTAAACTTTAAGTTCTAAAGTTTCATCCCGAACTAGTTTTTAAGTTAATTATATAGAAACCGCGTATACCATATTATATGAAAACAGCATTATGAGAAAATTGTGCAGTTGATAGTTTAAAACAAATCTATAACTTGTACAGAAAATGAGTTTGCATAAAGTTTTTATGTTTTGAGTGTATAATATAAACATATTTAAGCATTTCCTAAACTTGTCAATTTGATTTCAGTTAGTCTATAAATATGAGTTTGCATACATTCCATGAGATGGTAGGTTGTTGATGATGAAATGTACATGTGGATTAGAAGTTCGGGAAGTATAACGTATGCAAATTTATGGGGAGGAAGTCCATAAAATGGGAATACACGTAGGGGTTGCTCTAGCGGCTTCCATCAATCTTGATCCCGGAGTTTTTCATTCTACTTATAAAGCGTGCTCAGATTTTAATCAACCGTCAATACATCATCATCAGCAAACGTCAGTTTATCTTATTATATTTACATCACTACATTTAATATTTTATATTTATTGCAACAAATTAACAAAATATAAACTTAACATAATAACAAAACTAAAATTAAATTAAACTGCTGCAAACGGCCATTGACCATAGGTTTTTTTTGAAATATGAACAAATATATCTCGAAGATTTCACAAAAAAATTAAATTTAGAAATCTATTTTTGAAAATAAATTCGATTGTTTACACAAAAATGAAATATTTTTGAATAGATTTACATAAATATAATGGATTTAAAATATGGTTATGTAGTAAAATTATATTTCTTGCCTATGGCAATATTTTTTTATTTGAATCAAGTATACATAATAAAAATTGGCCATATCTTTACATTTTTAATATAAATTTCTCATCATATTTATATTATTCAATGTTTTTCTAATATATTTTTATTGAAGGCGCAGTAAATATAAATGATTAATTATTTAGTTAAGCACGTTTATAAATTGAATGGGTGATAATTCTAGTGTAACGAAGATTGTTTGTGAATTTGAATAGTGTATCCTTTAATAATACCAGATATTTATATGAATTTAATTTTCGTTTGCTTCAAATATTTTATAGTTCATTTAAATTTTCATAGTCAGGATTCATCATAGTCCGGTATAAAGATTTCAAATGAAACTAAATTTAAAAAGATGGTACGTATTATGTTTTATATATAAATGGTTGTTTTTGACTTCATACAGTCAAGTTATTTTTTGTTCGATTTAATTGTATATAATTTAGTTCATCGATTAGTGCGGTTTCAAACAGTCCGGCATGTAGGCGTAGTAAGTTTTCGTAGTCCGGATTCACCATAGCCCGGTATAAAAATTTCAAAACAAATTTAAATTGAAAAAAACAGTACACAAAACTATATTATATACATAAATGGTTGTTTTTGTCTTTATACAGTCAAGTCTCTTTTTGTTCGATTTATTTAGACCATTTAGGCGTGATGTAGGCGTAGTAAGTTTTCGTAGTCCGGTATAAAAATTTCAAAACAAACTAAATTAAAACAAACACTACACAAAAAGCTATGTTTAATATTTAAATGCTTGTTTTCATGTTTATACAGTCAAGTGTTCGGTTTATTTCTATACAATTTAGTTTTTCAATTAGTGCGTTTTTAAACAGTCCGCGATGTAGGCGTTATACGTTTTTGTAGTCGGGATTTGATCTGTCCGGATTCATCATAGTCTGGTATGAAAATTTTAAAACAATGTAAATAAAAAAAAATAGTATACAAAACTATGTTTTATACATAAATAGTTGTTTTTGTCTTTATACAGTTAAGTGTACTTTTGATAGGTTTATTTTTATATAATTTAGTTCCTCGATTAGTGCGGTTTCAAACAGTCCGGGATAAAGGCGTAGTACGGTTTCCGGCACTTTATTATATAAAATAATGTTGAGAAACCAATCTATTATTTAAAAATAAAGAAATAAAATATTTAAATAATGTAAACTAAGTCGGGAAAAATGCGGTCATTTTTCAAATATGATAAGTATGCTGGAGTAAGAGTTAATCTAGTTTAACTTATAGTGAAACAAGTTTGTAACTTGGGTGGGTAATCATTCTAGCTGAATTGAGATAATTTGCTGGAGTAACAAGTGTTAAGTTAGATATATTAGATATAATTACTAACAATTACTTTTCCTATGCTGAAATATTTTGATTATCAATTATTCACAATGACATTCACTCAAAAAAAATTAAAATACAAATATGTAATTGAAAATGAATAAAATTTATGCATTTGATATTGTAAATAATAAATATATTTTTACAAATAAAGTATAGAATAATTTCGAAAATATAAAGTATATGTTGAATGATAAACATGAAAAATGGTAATTTTAATATTAGATTTTCAAAATAAAATAGAAGTTTGTGCTGTGTCGTCTGGTAGTAGTTATTTATATACATTGATGGATATACGATGTCTAAAAATGTATATTCTGAAAGGTGGAGTCTGTGACGTAAAATGTATGAATGGTGTTCATGCGAGAAGAAAAGTTTCAAAGGTGCTTTTGCTTAATGACCGCAAAAAAAAATGGACAGCTAACTTCGATTACGAACTTTCCTTAACTATCATACTGGAAACAAGATACATAAGCTATCTCGTAATAAAAATAAAACATATTCTTGCGCACGAATAAAAGGGACAAACCGACAAAGGATTTAGTATTCACACGAAAATGCAATATAAATCCAGACGAGTAGGGATTATTGCTAAGTTGGGAACGAATCCACCAACAAATAGGAACGTACACGTTCATACATGCATGTATACGGCCACATCCTGCATCTATTGTCGTAAAATATCCGCAGCAGAACTTATTTAGGAATTGCGACTCACATGGAAATTTAACTAATGCCAACTATTTCAATAAGGCTCACTTGCACCGGCGGCAATTTCACCTAACTTGTGTCATTGAATAATGTAAATCCACTGTAAATCCATCCAGATGATAGAACAAATTCTGCTCGAGGAGAGAGGTGGGTCACGTTTCGAGCATTGTAACCTTTCAAATTGATTGATTACATCAAGGGTGTACTGAACCATTCCTCTGCTTAAGTTAATGACTGAAACAATTAGGAGGCAGTTACGAAATGTTTGCGTTTCAAATATAAAAGGGACGTGGAATTACTGAAGGCAATTAAAAAAAAAAGAAGATGCACACTCTTTTGTTTTTTGTACAGCATCTACCCTCTAACACAGAGGTTCCCAAAGTTTTTCGGTTTGCGGCGACCTAAATATAACAGATTTTTTCAGCGGCGCCCCAAGTCAAAACATTGGTATATCTGAGGGCGAACTTTATGTGAATATAATAAGTTTGAAAACCTCTGCTCTAACAAACAAATATACATTAAAAAACCCATGCGCATATGCACAGACACATACAAATTGTCTTTGCGTTTTAGAATTTCATTCCGTTCCCCTCTGCGTTAATCTATTGTCATTTGTTTCGCTAATTAGGATTACCAGATGTCCGGATTCCGACTGGATTCTAAGCGCCTCGGGCATTTAATATCTGTGCGGAATTTAATTTTTTCCCCGATTATATTCGAATTTTTTGTTTGTTCTGTAGGTTATAATTTTTTTTGCTCATTCCACTCGCTTCACAATCTGGTACGCAATATCAACTTTGGTTAAATAAATGAAATGCGATGAATGCGAAATGACCATCAATTTAGGAAACAATGAAAAAAAATGTAATTTATAAGCATTAAATAATTATAGATAAATTATATGATATTTACATGGATCATTGCAACGGTAACTTTTTTCGGATTGTTTTGTGTTCAATTTTCTCTGATTTCCCAAAGGCTTTCTTATAAATTTAAATGAAAAATATGAATTACTAATAATTGTAGATCTAATTTATTGCATAATCTACATAAAAAACCTGTTCACCTTTTTAAAATTAATTATTTTCTTTATTGTTCAAAATATTTTGGTATGTGTTATATTTTTTATATATTTTTTTATCTTTTTAAAGAATGTTGTTTCAATTATATTTTTCGAAAACCATACTGAATTTATAGTTTATTTTTTAAGTTAACAAAGAAATAATATAAGGTAATAATATTTATTTATTTGCACTATTTCAGAATTATTCATATTCATACTGAATTAATACGTTATCAAATAAATTACAAACTAAACACATATTAATTATGAAACATAGCCTTCGTCCTTTCAGAGATTAAACCTAAAATTCCAAACATAAATTCCCAACCTACTCAACCCATTGTGAGAATACCCTACAGATTTCGTAACTAGATAACTCAAAAGATAACAAACTTTAAATTAATGTCACGTTGTTATCCATTGTTCTTCGTGATTCTTAAATTGTTGAAGTGAGTTTATAACCTTTTGTATAGT